AGCCCGAACGCGAGCGACGCGGCCGCGGCGCCCGCGGGGAGCATCGCGGCGTCCGCGCGCCACGCAGGCCAGGGTCAGGGCCGCGCAGCCGCCCGCGGCGGCCACGTGGCCCGGCAGCGTCTCGAGCGTGTCGCCGGGCAGGGCCAGCTCCGGCGCCGGCGCCGCGTAGGCGCCGAGGGCGACGCGGCGCGCGCCGAAACGCGGCGCGCTGCGGCGCGCGCCGAGGCGCACCGACGCGCCGGGCGCCGGCGCGCGCAGCGCCTGCGCGAAAGCGACCAAGAGGCCATAGATGCAGGCTGTGGTGGCGCGCATACTGACACCGCTCTCTTCCCTTCTTGAATGCGTCGTTGAAGACTCGATCAGCGCGAAAGCTGGTCCCGGCATCCCGCCGAGCCCGTGGTGCGGGTGCGCGCGCCGTCGACGCGGCGTGTGCGATTCGCGGCGCGCGCGCCCCGGGCCGCGCGCGTCGACATTCCTCCCCGAGCGCGCGCGCGCCGCCCCACAGACACGTATGGTTAGGGAGAGGCCTGGTCTCTCCGCCGCGCCTATCTCGCCTTCTTGGCGGCCTTCTTCATGGGCTGCTTCTTCGACGCGGTCGTCTTGCACTTGACGCCGCTGCACTTCGTCTTCGTGCAGTCCGCGCGCTCGCAGGCGGCCATCTTCCGCTTCGCGGCCTGGGCCTTGTCGAGCGACGTCTGCGCCTGCCGCTCGGGGGGCTGGACGCCGTACATCTTCAGCAGGTCCGACGCGGTCCCGGAGAACGGGAACGCCGACATGTCGGGCGCGCCGCCTGCGGATCGGCGCGCGTGACGCACCGGGAGCGCGGGACGTGTCGTCGCGCGCGCGATGCCCGTTCGAGCGTGGAACGTGTCGTCGCGCGCGCGATGCTCGTTCTGGTCACGACGGCGAGGTGTGCGGGCGTCGGTAGCCTCGCGCGCGCTCGCCGCAAGTGGACTCAAACTTTGAGTCGAAAGTCGGAGGCCGGCGACCGTTCGAGTCGAAGTTTGAAATCGTTTGCGCAGCGGCGCGCAGGACGCGGGCGCGCGCCGTCTCCTAGTCGGTCGCAAGGCGTCGGGTGCGAGCAGCGGCAGTCGCGACAACAGCTATGCCCACTCTTCGGATGGCTTTGACTCGAGCTGCGATCAGTTGGCGCCCGCCGGGCTAAAAACTATCAAAAGCAACACCTCAGGAGCTGCATCGTTGCGATTATTGAAGCAATTACACGCGATGGACGCGCTCCGAGCGTGGCCGAGTCCGCAGTGGTGAAGGTGTCTCTCTGCAGTAGGTGATTGCGTGGGACGGGTTCTTCGGGCCATTGAGGCGGATTCAGCACATTTCCTACTGCAGCGGCCGACGCCGTGAAGTCGGCGTTCCGGGCCTCCATGGGGACGACGAAACGGCCGAGATCGGCACCGCGGGGTGGCCCTCCACCGCTGGAGATGTACTCGATCCCACCGGACACATACTGGGGACGGGGCTCGGGCGGTGGTGTCGGCCCAGACCGCGTTTCTGGACGTGGGGGCCGCTCGGGCTGCCGCGCCACGTTTCTATGCGCGAGTTGGCGGTCGATGTTTTCGACGTCGATGGCCGAGCGGATCAAATGGGACGCCCGCGGTACATAGACGAACGATTCCCGATGCTCCGTGCGCTCGAACACGGTCGAAAAGGGTGCGGGGGACGCCGAAAACCCTCTTCCGACCCCTTGGGACGCCCCGCGCGCGATGCGACGCAATCCTCGGGAGTGACATCCCGCGGGGAATGTGTCCGCGACAGGGTTCCGGTCCTCGCAGCCGCGGGGATCGTTGCGCAACTCTGCGCCTGCGTCGAGCTACGGGCTGGAGAAGACGAGAACTTCGTCCATCGACGCTGCAAAAGGGCTGCTCGCAGCCTGATTGTTTGAGTTGCTTTTTCGAGGAATCGGTCGAGTTGCTTTTTTTAGTTTTTAGCCCGGCGGGGGCTGCGATGCGATCTGCGGCCCCGGTGTTGCGCTGTGCAGCCTGCAGGGCCTGCCTCCGTGCGCAAGCCTTGCGCAATGCGCCTCGCACTTCGCCTCGCAAGGCTCTCGCACACCTCGCACACGACCGACCAGTCCGTGGACGACCCCGGGCCCGGCCGCGCCGGCCGCGACGGAGCCCGCGTCCTAGAAGGCGCGCCGCACGACGGGTCGAAGCGGGGCGCGCGGGGCCCGCGCGGCGCGCGGCGCGCGACCCGGCGGGCGCGCCTAGTTGCAGAACTCCCAGTTCGTGACGAGGATCTTGGAGACGCACTGGAGCGCGTGGCGCTGGATCTCCGGGTCCTCGTGGTCGATGAGCGCCATGATCTTGTCCTTGGCGCCGAGGTGCTTGACGACGGCCTTGCCGTTCGGGTAGAAGCGGACGAACTCGCCGACGTCGTAGCACGCGATGGACACGACCGTCGGGTCGCGGTCGCCGTCGAGGAGCTGGACGAGGAGCTTGATGAGCGCGAAGTCGTCGGCCTCGGCGGCCCGCGCGTTCTCGCGCCAGAACTTGTCCGTGTGCACGAGGCCCCACGCCAAATCGCCGGACCGGACCTCGGCCGCGTAGCGCTCGAGCGTCGTGAGCTCGCGGTAGTTGGCCAGGAGGCGCTTGTGGAGCGCATCGACGTCGTCGGCGACGTCCGGGTCCGCCCACTTCTTGTCCTTGAGCAGCTTGAGCGTCTTGACGAGGCCGCACTTGATCATCGCGGCGGCCGCGCCGCCGGCGTCGCCGTCGCCCGGCTCGCCGTCCTTTGCGGCGTCGGCCAAATTCCGCAGCGTCGCGAGGGACACGCGCACGACCTTCTCCCGCGGCGCGGCGCAGACCTGGTCGCAGAGCACGGCCACGGACCCGCACTGGAGGAAGTCGGCCGACACGTCGCCGCCGCCGAACGACAGCGCCCAGAGGCAGAACGTGAGCTCGTAGAGGAGCTGCGCGTTCGCGCTGTCGTGCCCCGGCTTCTTGAGCAGCTTGGTCACGTAGCCGACGCCGCCGTGGGCCGCGAAGGCCGTGCGCGCGCGCGCGACGCGGAGCAGGATCGTCAGCGCGGGCACGGCCGCGCGGACGTGGCTCCGCTCGCCGCGCGAGCTCGCGAGCTGCTCGCAGAGCCAGGCCACGAAGGCGTCGCCGTCGGCGTCCTCGACGACCGTGAGCAGCGTCGCGAGCGACGACGCGGCGACGCGCGCGCAGTAGGCGTCGTCCGCGCGCTCGAGCGCGCAGAGGAACGGCGCGGCGTCGAGGGCCCCGTCGCACACAAAGTGGGCCACGCGGTCCGCGAGGGACCCGCAGTCCTCGGCGAGGAGCACGTCCTCGACGCGCGTCAGCGCGTACTGACGCGCGGCGACGTCGCCGCAGCGGCCGACGACGGCGAGGAGCGCGGCGACGTACGCGCGCGCGGCCGCGCCGTCGCCCAGGCTGTAGTCCAGGGGCGCGTCCTCCGCGGCCTTGAGCGCCGCCACGTCCGCGGCGCTCAGGATGCCCACGCGGCCGAAGCTCGGCCAGTCGATGGCGCCGTACTGGCCCAGGGCCACGTCGCGCGTGATCTCGGGCACGCTCATCTCCACGACGTCGCCGGCGCTCGATCCGACGCCGAGCGCGCCGCAGGCGAGCCGCTTCGTGGTGCGCGCCGGCGCCCGCGTCCGCGCAGTGGCTCTCGGCGGGGCGGCCGACGGCTGGGCGTCGCTCGCAGAGCGGCTCTCTGCAGGGGGGGACACTGAAAATCGGCCGATTGTAGATCGTCGAATTTGGCGGCGCCGCCCAGTGCGATGGATAGAGGGCATCTAACTGATAATCAAAGAGTCTGGGTTCGTGGAAATCGATCCGGATTTCGTAAAGTTATGGCTTCGCGAAGCCTCGTTTTTTTTCCTATGGGGCTGGACGAATCCCATTTCGTTCAAGGCTGGAAAATGTTGAAAATCGTGGGGGGTACACCCGCGTTTTCTTTTATATGTTCCATGGGGCCCGGCCCAACGTCGATCGAGCCAAAAATCTTGGGTGTACCCCCCCGGGAAGTCGACCTACGCGTCTCAGGCGTGAACAGAGACCCCAGGCGATTTTTTGGGGTAATTATCTTCTGTCCGAGCTTCACCGTCCGCCCCTACTGCAGCGTGTGGCGGCGCCGATGCCGTGCTTCGATGCCCGTGCCGCGCCGCGGCCCCCTGGCGCGGCGCCGCTCCCTCGATCGGCTTTACCGCGCGCGTCACTCCTTGGAGAGGAGGAGGCTCCGGACGGAGGGCTTCCGCCCCCAGGCCGCGCTCACGGGCGCCTCGCCCGGCGGGTCGCTCTCGTCGGCCGGGTCCGTGACCTTCTGCTGGATGAACACCGTCGCGCCGCCCCAGCTCATCTGGTGGAGCTCGCTCTCGCGGACCTCGAAGTGGTCGCTCGGGAGCTTCTTCGTGAAGGTGATGAAGAAGGCGCCCCGCTTGAGCCGCGCGGCCCGGCGCGCGACGGCGGCCAGCATGCCGTCGTCGAAGCACGTCGAGTTGGCGAAGACGACGTCGCCGCCCGACCAGTCGTGGGCGCCGAGGTCCGTGACGTCCGCCTCGTAGAAGTCGACGGCGGGCCCCGTCCGGCCGAGGGACGCGAGGAGGGGCACGCCCACCTCCTCGTAGGCCGCCTTGGCGTCGCGCGACGCCCGGACGAGGCCGCCGAGGTACTCGACGCCCCGGCACGCCTCGAACTCGAAGAGCGTCGCCGCGGCGACGGCGGGCTTGCCCGCGCCGCTGCCCAGGTCGTAGAAGACGCCGGACCCGGGCGCCTGCATGACGCCACCGTCGCCGGACGCGCCGACGCCCGGCCGCCCGTAGACGGCCTTGATCTTCAGGAGCGCCGCGCCGAACGAGGCCTGGGCAGCACAAGAGTGATTCAACGTCGCTTCAACGTGAGTGTTCCGCGCGCGCGCGTTACGGGAAACACATCCACGCTTCGAGACCGTTCCGAGGGACGACCGCTCGTCCAAACGTCGGCCGACGCGAGCGGACGCCGGCCGAGATCGGAGCCTCCGAAGTCGGGAACGTCGCGCCCCTTCGCGGCCCCGGAGGAGGCGAAGTTGATCTCGCCGTAGACGAGGCTCGACGCGTTCATGCCCCGGGCGTCGCGCTCGCGCTTCGAGATGATCTTGCCGTGCGTCGCCGGCCAGCGGCCGAAGATGGCCTCGTAGACGCGGCGCGGCTCCTCGAGCGCGGCGTCGGACGGCGACGCCGACGCCTCGTTGCGCAGCTCGACGCGGGCCATGGCGGCGCGCAGGTCCGGGTGCTTCGGCGCGCTCGGCGCCGGCGCGGCTGCGGGCGGCGGCGCGTCGAGCGCGGACATGACCAGGAACGCGGCGAAGGCCGGGCTGCCTAGGGCCAGTCTATTTAACAATCCTCAACCGGGAGCCGGTTTGGCAGACCGCAAGGTAAATGTTGGCTGGCTGGCTGGCTCGGTCGCTGGCAGCCACCCATTTCTTCAATGTAGACGTTGCATGTGCAAATCTTGCGATTTTCGCGCGGGAATCATGTCAAAATCTAGTTAGGCGCCCGGAGTGGCCCGCCGGGGGTGACGGAAGCGCGAGCGCCGACGCGCGTGGCCGGCGGCCAGCCGGTCGCTGCAGCCGCCCCAGGACGGCGCGGCGCGCCGTAGGCGCGCGTTGTAGAGGTTGTAGCGAGGGGTCGTTTCGTGGACTGGACGTCCCTGGCTGGCTGGCTGGCTCGGCCCCCGGCGGCTGGCTGCTGTCTTGGCCTGCCCTTGGGGCTGCCTTTAATAAAAGGTCAAGGAGCAGGGTAAGTGCCGTGTGTCGAGCGCTCAATCACGAGCGCAGTATGATCGCGCGTTCAGGCCTGCTCGCCCGGTGTTTCGCCGCCGCGGGCGCGCGCCGGTCCTCCGCCGGCGCCTACGCCGTCGCCAGGTACCGGAACCTGGACGACGCGCCGGCCGCGGCCCGCGACGCCTGGCGCCGGTCCGACGCGACGCTCCACGGCGAGATGCGCAAGCGCGTGCCCGCGGCCCTCAAGCACAACGGCGAGGAGGCCTTCGACGACCACCTCGTTGGCGTCCAGAGTGTCCTGCGCGCCTGGGGCGCGCCGGAGCACGTCACCAACGCGGCGCTGTTTCACTCGATCTACGGCACCGAGGGCTTCCAGGGCTACGCGCTGCCCCTCGACCAGCGGGGCGACGTCGCGGGCCTCATCGGGGCCCGCGCCGAGCGGCTCGCGTGGATCTTCTGCATGGTCGACCGCGAGACCGTCGACGCGACGGCGCTCGCGCCGCCGCCGGCCGGCGCCGCGCCGGCGTTCGCCGCGCGCGCGGAGCTCGGCGGCTTCGCCATGCCCCTGCGGGACCGCGCCGAGTGGCTCGACTTCCTCGCGCTGAGCCTGGCGGACTGGCTCGAGCAGGTCGAGGGCGCCGCAACGAAGGCGCTGCCGTCGCCCGTCGGCGGCGCGGACGTCTGGGCCGCGGGCGAGGCCTGGGCCTACCGCCGGGCCGCCTACGAAGCCATGGCCGACGTGCTCGCGGCGGAGGGCGACGCCTGGGTCGCGAACGCGGCCCCGGCCATGTACGCCGAGGTCTTCGCCAACGAGCCCGCGGCGACGCGGGGCCTGTGCATCGCGAAGACGCCGCCCATGGGCCCCGCGGCGCTCGCGGCCCGGGACGCCGCCGCCGCGGCGGCGCTCCGCTTCGACTAGCGGCGCGATGGTAACGCGGGGGTGCCTAGGGCTTGGAGCAGACGAGCCACTTGACGGCGTCGAGCTTCGGCCGGTGGACGACGACCGTGGACTTGGCGGCGTCGCGGCCGCGCGGCTTGTCGGCGGGCCCGTACTTGCCCGCCGCCGGCGCCGCCGCCGGCGGCGGCGGCAGCGCGGGCAGGTGCCAGCGCGCGAGCGCCTCGCCCGGGTCGTTGCGCTGCGCGCGGACGGAGAACGGCGGCGGGTCGTGGATCGTGACGTCGCGGCCGCCGTCGCGGCGCCAGCCGCCGAGCTCGAACTTGGCGAGGTGGCGCTCCTTCCACACGAGGAACGCGCGCGCCGAGAGCATGCCGAAGTGGTGGTCGCGCATCTCGTCGTTGGACACGAGGAGCGACCCGGGGCCCGCGGCGACGGCGGCGTAGAGCCAGTACCAGTCGTCGTTGTTCCGCAGCGCGCAGGAGTAGAGGCTCTTGGACCGGCGCCAGGCGTGGAGCACGGGCCTCGCGCTCGCCGGGAGGCGGTCGTCCTGGAGGTGGCGCGCGTGGAGCACGACGAGCGCGCGGCGGCCGCCGTCGATGCACTTCCGGAGCACCGCGTCGACCTGGCGGAAGTCGACGGCGTCGGGCGCGCCGGCGTAGTTCGCGCCGTGGTAGCCGACGTTGGCGCCGTCGATGATGCAGTCGTAGGGCGCGCCCGCCTTGGCGAGCCACGCCTTGAACGTCCGCCACTGCGCCATCCGCCGGCCCGCGAGCCGCTCGAGCTCCTGCGCGCTGGACTGGCCCTCGAACTTGGCGTCCACGGCGGGCACGAGGCCCTCGATCTGCTCCAGGAGGAGGGCCCGCTCGGCCTCCGAGAGGTCGAGCGACCGGAGCTTCGCGCCGGTGACCGCGCACGCGCCGTCGCCGGACACGGCCGATTCCTCGGCGCAGGCCGTGAGGCCGAGCGCCGCGCAGTAGCGCCGGCAGGCGGGCCAGGCGGCGCGGCTCGGCGCGTGGCAGTCCGCGGCGAGGTCGTCGAGCACGGACGCGCCGGGCAGCGAGGCCGCGTCGCCGCCGGCCTCGAGGCGGCCCGCGCGGCAGTCGACGAGCGCGACGTGCTCGGCCTCGCTGAGCTCGATGCCCTTGTCGCGGCACTCGGCGGCGACGGCCAGCGCCTCGGCGAGCTCGCCGCGGCGGCACCGGAGCTTGAGGAGCGGGCTGAACGTCCGGAGCTTGAGCTTGAGGTTCCGGGCCTTCATCTTCGCGAGGACGCCCTCGGCCTCGGCGGGCGCGTCGTCGACGGCGCAGACGCGCACGAGCATGGTGAACGTCGCCTCGCCGAGCTCCATGCCCGCGGCCCGCATGTCGTCGAAGAGCTCGAACGCGAACGCGCGCTTCGCGCCGCTGTCCGTCGGCGGCGCGCCGTCGGCGGCCGCGTCGCCGTCGTCGGCGGCGTCGCCGTCGTCGGCGGCCGCGGCGCCGCCGGCGGCGCCGTCGGCGGCGGCCTCGTCCGCCGCGTCGCCGCCGGCCGCCTCGTCCGCCGCGTCGCCGCCGGCCGCCGCGGGCGCGGCCGCGGCCGCGAGGCCCTCGCTCCAGGGCGTGCCCTTGGGCGCGTCGCGCTCGCGCCGCGCGACGCCGGAGCAGAGCGCGAGGAGCGACTGGCAGGCCTGGGCCTCGGGGCGGAAGTCCGCGGACTCCGCCTTGGCCGCGCGGTATTTAGCCGCCGCCGCCGCGAAGTCGTTGCCGCGGCAACAGGCGACGATCTCCCGCGCGAGCTTCTCGCCGGGCGTCGCCTCGCGCCGCGGGAACTTGGACCGGTGGCCGCCGCCCTTGCCCTTGCCGCCGCCGGAGTGGGGCCGCTTCGCGCCGCCGGGCGAGCCCTTGCCCTTGCCCCGGCCGCCGAAGCCGCGGCCGAGGCCGCGCCCCGCAGAGGCAATGGCGATGCCGCGACCGGACATGGCTGCTAGTGCTAGCACTGCCGACGAGCGATGCTTGTCGCTTCGGAGAGCTGATCTCCTGATCGGCCTGCCGTCGCGGTGTTGCCGACATGCCGATGTTGACGCCGCGCGCGCTCCGCGCGCGTTCTCGACCCGTAGGCAGGTCCCCGGCGGCGGCGGCGGCGCGCCGCGGGACCCGTCGGCATCGACCTCCTCATTTGCGCGCGTCGCCCGGCTCCGCTCAGTGCCGCTCCGCTCAGGCTGCGATCCGCCGCTTCTCCGACTAATCCACACTGCGGCCAACTTTTGAAACACACCCGGGCCGCCGGCGGGCCGTGTCATTCTGCCGGTTTCCGTTTGTACGCGCTGGTTCGGCGACGCGCCCGCGTCCAACAATACCGCGATGATCTCAGCGCCGCAGAGCATCGCCTCTTCGCAGGCGGGCGCCAGGGCCAGCCCGGCCTACGTGGATCACCGTCACGGTGACTGGCATCATGATGGTTAGTACGCCAGAGCGACGTCGTGCTCAAGATCCAGGTGATCAACGCGGGGCGCACACACTCTCTCCGACGTCGCCGCGGAATGTGGATTTCTCATATCATACCGCCGGCTGTTGCACGCATACGACGTAGCGCCGGCGCCACCCCTACCACAATGGTACCAACTCACCCGGGGGACCGCGCGCGCGTCCCGACGCAGGCTACGGACTTCTGGAGCCCACGCGCTGCCAGCGCAGCATCCTGCATACACACACCCATCAAACCGGCGAGTTAATGGCGAAGCGGCGCGCGGCGACGTTATTAAGCGCGGCGACGTTGCCCAGCCTGCCAAACTTCACTCAAACTGACCGGTCACAAGTTAAGTTAACGGTCGCGGGCGATTGTGCTCACTCGTCAGCACAGCCTACCACTGCTACCAGTCCGCCAGCCGCGCGACAGCAGCCTGACAGCAGCGCATGGCACAGATGGAGCTCGCGCGCGACGACCGCCTGCCGGTCACCGTGCTCTCGGGCTTCCTCGGCGCGGGCAAGACCACGCTCCTCAAGCACATCCTCACGAACCGCGAGCGCGTGCGCGTCGCCGTGCTCGTCAACGACGTCGGCGCCGTCAACCTCGACGAGAAGCTCATCAAGGAGTCGCGGCTCGTGCGCGCCGACGAGGCGCTCGTCGAGCTCACGAACGGCTGCATCTGCTGCACGCGGCGCGACGACCTGCTCCGGGAGGTGCGCGAGCTCGCGGCGCTCAAGGACGAGGCCGACGCGACGAAGCGCCGCTTCGACGTGCTCGTCGTCGAGTCGACGGGCGTGTCCGACCCCGCGAACGTCGCCGACGCCTTCGCGGACGACGCGGAGCTCGGCGCGCTCGCGCGGCTCGACGCGATGGTCACCGTCGTCGACGCGGCGTCCTTCGCGGAGAACTTCGGGTCCGTGGCGACGCTGGGCGGCGGCGACCACGCGGGCCACGGCCACGGGCCCGACGACGACTGCGACGCCGGGGGGCTCGGCGAGAACGTCGTCGACCTCCTCGTGAGCCAGGTCGAGTTCGCGGACGTCGTGTTGCTGAACAAGGCGGACCTCGCGGGCGCCGGGCGGCTCGCGGCCGCGGAGACGGCCGTGCGGCGGCTCAACCCGCGCGCGCGCGTCCTGGCGACGACGCAGTCGGACGCGCCCGTGGCCGACCTGCTGCTGACCGGCCGCTTCGACGCCGAGGCGACGGGCGAGAGCTCCGGCTGGCTCGCGAGCCTGCGCGCGGGCGGCGACGGCGTCGCCGAGAGCAAGGCGGACACGTCGCTGAGCGGCATCGGCTTCCAGAACTTCGTGTACAAGCGGCGGACGCCCTTCCACCCGGGCCGGCTCCACGACTTCCTCAGCAGCCACTTCGTGTTCTACGAGCTCTCCTACGCGGACGACGACGACGACGACGACGACGCCGCGGCGCCGGCGACGGCGGCGCAGGACGCGGCGACGCTCGAGGCGAGGCGGGCGCGCGCCGTCGCCAACGCGAGGCGGTTCGGGACGATCCTGCGGTCCAAGGGCTTCGTCTGGCTCGCCACGCGCAACGACCACGTCGGCGAGTGGAGCCAGGCGGGGTGCGTCGGGCGCCTGGGCACCGAGGCCAAGTGGTACTGCACGGCGCCGCCGGAGGCCTGGCCCGAGGATGCCGACGAGCGCGCGGCGATCCTCCTCGACTACCCGGACGAGGAGCGCGACGTCGACCCCGAGGACCTCGACCCCGTGGAGGCCGTGGGCGACCGCCGCCAGGAGATCGTCTTCATCGGCATCGACCTGCGCAAGGAAAAGCTCGAGGCCGCGCTCGACGCGTGCCTCCTGACGACGCGGGAGTGGATGAAGCAGCAGGCGTGGCAGCGGCGCGCGCTCGGCGGCGCGGACGAGCCGGACCCCCTCGCGGACGCCGACCCCTTCGACGCCTGGCCCGACTTCGACCGCGAGGACGCCATGGACGAGGGCGCTTGAGAGCGCCGTCGCCACAGAGCCACCCCGGGGAGTAGCACATCGTTCGTCCCCGGCCTTCACCCCTTGGGAACCTCCGCGGATATCCCGCGCCGCAGCCTGACTAAGTGCCTGTCTCCAAGGCCAAGTTTAGCTCGTGAAGTTATTGAAGTTTACGTTGCTGACGCGTCGGGCCGAATTTAGCCGAATCGGGGATGGGCATCGTTGGGCAGCCTTATTCGTGCCGCACGCGCGGATCGCCGCCCGTAGATGGGCCGTTGATGCCGTAGCACGACGCCATGGTGCGCGCGACCGCCGCGCTGCTGCTGCTGCTGCGCGACGCCGAGGCGGCCTACATCGCCGTCGTCGGCCCCACCGGCGACGACGTCATCGTCACGGATCTCACGCCCGTCCGCCTGCAGCTCAACGACGACGAGTCCTACGGCCTCCTCTACGAGGACGGAGAGCTCCTGACGGAGCTGCCGCATAAGAACTGGGTCGCCACCCATTTCCCGCCCTGCCACGAGCCACCCATTTCCCGCGAGACCGCCGCGAACGTCGCGCTCAAGCGGCCGCGCGCGGGCGCCGTGACGCTGACGAGCCTCAAGTGCGACGGCTCCGCGCCGGACGACTACGACGTCGCCCGGATCGCGAGCGTCGCGGACGCGACGGACGTCGCGGGCTGCGAGGACGTCACGGGCGCCGGCGCCAAGGTCGTCGACGCGTTCCACCTGCTCGACGAGTGGGACATGGTGCGCACGCGGTCCGCGGAGCTCGCGGGCGTCGTCGACGCGCACGTGCTCGTCGAGGCGGACCGCTTCCACGACGGCACGCCCCGCGCGGGCGCGGAGTTCTGGCGCGACGTCGCGGCCGACTGGGCGTCCCCGGGCGCCGCGCCCGTGCTCAACCTCACGGTCCGGACGTGGCCCCCCGAGGCCGGCGAGGACGACGGCGACCTCCACGACCGCGGCGAGGCCTCGCGGAACGGCGTCCTCGAGGCGCTGCGGGCCTTTGGCCCCGCGCTGGGCCTCGAGGCGACGGACGTCGTCGTGGTCTCGGACGTCGACGAGATCCCGAACCGGGAGACCGTGCGGCGCCTCAAGGTCGCGGCGGAGTGCGACAAGCGGCGCATCGCGCGAGGCCTCCTCCCGGTCCTCGCGACGCCCGCGTCGCTGCTCATGAGCCACCACCACTACGCGCTCGAGTGGACGCTCGGCGGGCGCTGGGCGGGGCCCTTCGCCGCGCGGCTCGCCGACCTGCTGGGCGCGACGGCGGAGGGCGACGCCTTCGAGGGCGGCGCCGCGGTCTTCCCGGCCGAGTTCGGCGTCGGCGAGGCGCGCTACGTCCTGTGTGGATTCCACCCACTGGTTTGGGGGGTCCCCACCAAACTTCAGAACTCTCTAGCTCGGTCAAATCGAAGTCGATTTGGCTGATTTTTGGACGAATCGATTGCTCTCGTCGAGTTCTCGAAGCACAGCCGAAGAGCTTGCGTCGAAACTGTCGCATATGCGCATATTGAAGTCGGGTTGAAGATTTGAATTCCACGCAGGCTACGTCGCGCTCCAGTCCGCGGACGACTGGGAGCGGCCCGTCCGGGCGGCGGACATGTTCCCGGGCCGCGACAAGTCCGGATTCGTGGGCCCGGGCCTCGTCGCGGACTGGCAACCGCGGTCGCTCTTCGACAACGCGGGCTGGCACCTGTCCTACTTCCCGCGCGCGCCGCCGGCCGCCGAAGTCGACGAGCCCGGCCGGCTCCGCCTCGTGGCCGCGTCGCTCGAGCGCAAGCTCGCGCACCACGGCCACCGCGAGTTCAGCGACGAGCTGCTCCGCTGCGCGGGGCTGCTGGACTTCGAGCGCGACGCGGCGTCCGGCGGCCGCGGCGGCGTTCGAGAGATTCCGGGCGGGAAATCGCCACCGCCGCGCCCCGTAGGCGCTACGCCGCCCTGGGCCACAGCGTCCAGGAGATCGAGCTCCGGTGCCGCGAGGACCGCGCGGCGGACGAGGGCGCGGACCTCGACGCGGGCACGACGCGCGCGTCCGTGTCGCAGTGGACGGCGTCCTACGCGCCGCGGGGCCCGGCGCCGCGGGGGCTGCCGGCCTGGCACCGGGCGCCGCCCGTCGACGTCGTCGAGTACGAGATCTCCGTCGACGGCGCGGACCGGGACTACCGGCTCCGCGCGCGCGCGTTCGCGAACGACCGCGGCCGCGCCGGCCGGGGCAGCACAAGAGAGCGAAATTCCCAACTTCAAAGGCTCATATCTCGGCCGTTTTCCACTCGTTTCGGCTGATTTTTGGACGAGCGATCATCTCTCGGAACGGTCTCGAAGCGTGGATGTTTTTTTTTCGTAACGCGCGCGCGCGGAACACTCATGTTGAAGCGACGTTGAATCTCTCTTGTGCTGCCCAGGCGCCGGCGACGTCGCCGAGCGGCGCGCGATCGCCGCCGCCGCGAGCCGCGTCTGCTGCCACCTCTGGTACCACGAGCCGTTCTGCGTGGACAACGTCGCCGCGCACCTGCGCCAGTCCGCGGCGCGGCTCCACTCCGCGGGCGCGGGCGCCCGGGGCGCCGCGGAGTGCGCGCCGCGCCGCGACGTCGGCGCCTGGGCCGCGGCGGTCGTCGCCGGCGCGGCGGAGGGCGACCCGTTCGACGCCGCCGTCGCCGTCGAGGCCGCCGCGCGGGCCGCGTGCCTCGGCGAGGCCGAGTCCGGCGGCTGCTGCGCGTTCGGCCGCGTCGCCGCGGCCGCGGCCGCGGCGCTCGACGCCGCGAACGCGACGTTCCCGCCGCGCCCGGCCCTGCGCCGGCCGCCCGTGCTGCAGGACCCGGACGGCGGGTCCACGGCCTTCGCGCTCGACCCGGCCGCGCCCGCGGCCGACGCCGCGCGCGCCGCGTGCGACGCCTGGATGGGCCCAGGCGCCGCGGAGGCCGACGCGGCGCGCTGCGCGGACGCGCTCGCGGGGGACGCGCTGCGGACGTTCCGCGAGCAGGACCGCCTCGACGCGGCGCGCGCGCGGCACGCGCCCCGGCTCTTCGCCGCGCTCGCGTCGCGGCGCGCGAACCGCGGCGGCGCCGCGGGCGGCGCGGGCCTCGCGCGGGCCGCCGCGGCGCTCCGGGGCGCGACGTCCGCCGCGCCGCCGCCCGGGGCCCACGCCGTGCCCGCGGCGGCGCTCGCGCGGTCGCGGCTCGGGCTCGCGCTCGGCGCCTACGCCGCGGCCCACGCGGACTTCCTCGGCCTCGGCGGCGCCGCGTCCGCGGCAGTGTGGATTCCAACCGCTGGTTTGGGGGGTCCTGACCAAACTTCAGAACTCTCTATCTCGGTCAAATCGAAGTCGATTCGGCTGATTTTTGGACGAATCGATGGCTCTCGTCGAGTTCTCGAAGCACAGCGACAGAGTCCGGTCCAAATCGTTCGATTACGCGCACATTGAAGTCGGGTTGAAGATTTGATTTCCACACAGGTCCGCGGCGCGCGCCGCGGACGCGGCGCCGCGCGTCGAGGTCCTGGAGCGCGCCGCGCGGCGGGCCCTGGAGCGGCGCGGCTGCGGCGCCGACTGCGGCCCCGGCGCGAGCCTCGACTCGTGCGACTGGGTCGACGGCTGCGACGCGCGCCTCGCCGCGCTCGAGGACGCCGTCGTCGCGGCCGCCGCGGGCGCGGCCCCGCCGCCCGTCGCGATGGCGTGGGGCGCGCCGGGGGACGTGGACCGCGGCCACGCGGCCGCCGCGGCCGCCGTCGCGGTCGGCGCGACGCGCGTCGCCGCGACGCTCGCGGCGCCGCCGCCGGCGCCGCCGGCGCCGGAGGCGCCGCCGACGCCGCGCGACGAGGCCGACGCGCTCGCGGCGCTGCTCGCGTGGATCGACGGCGGGCTCGGGGGCGCCGCGGCCGTCGCCGTGCTCTGGGGCGGCGCGGACGCGGGCGGCGGCGCGGACGCGGGCGGCGCCTGGGCCGCGGCGCGCGACGGCTTCGGCGGCGCCGTCGCGCTCTCGCGCGAGCTCCGGCTCACGGCGGCCGGCGCCGCGGCGCTCGGCGACCACGCCGGGTGCGACGTCGGCGGCGCGCGCGACTTCGTCGTCGAGGCCGCGGTCTTCGAGACGGCCGCGGCGGCCGCGGGCGCGGCGCGCGCGCGCGCGGCCCGGCTCGCGGCGCGCCCGGCGTCCGGCGCCGTCGTGCTCGACCGCGACGCCGCCTACGACCTCGCCGCGTTCGCGTTCAACCGCCACAGCGTCGCGGTCGCGGACTTTGGCGACGCGGCCGCGTGCAAAGCCGCGGCCGCGCGCGTCGCCGCGGCGCTCCCGGGCGGCGGCGCGCCCGGCGGCGCGGCGGCGCGCCGCGTCCTGCGCCGCGCGCTCGTCGCCGGCGCGGCGGCGAACGCGGCGTGGGGCTTCGAGGCCCTCGGCGACGTCGTCTCGCTCGTCGCCGTGTGGAAATCAACCAGCGGAACGCCCCGTCCAGCAAACACTTCACTCCTCTCGATCTCGATCACGTCGATTCGGCTGATTCTTGGACGAATCGATGGCTCTCGTCGAGTTCTCGAAGCACAGCTGACGAACGTGCGTCGAAACCGTACGCTCACATTGGAGTCGGGTTGAGGATTCGATGTCCGCGCAGGCTCGTCGGCGACGGCGGCGCCGACGGCTTCGTCGACGTCGTGAGCGCCGGGCCCTTCGCGGCGCCGCGCGCGCGCGGCCTCGAACACGCGGGCGTCGGCTCGTCCTTCGAGCACCTCGAGAGCTTCGACGTCGCGACGCTCGTCCCCGCGCCGAAATCGAACGGCGAGCCGGGCGATCCCGACCAAACTTCGGAACTCTCGAGCCGCGTCGCGTCGAAGTCAATTCGGCCGATTTGGGACGAATCGAGTGCTCTCGTCGACGTCTCGACGCACGATCGAAGACTCCGCGTCGAAACCGCCCACGTTGAAGTCGGGTCGAAGATTCGTCTTTCGGCCCAGGCTGGTGCACGACCCGCTCGCGCACGCGAGCCTCTACGGCGCCAAGTTCGCCGCGCCCCAGTTCCTCCTCTTCTACGACGACGCGTCCCAGGCGCGCGGCGAGGCCTTCGCGCGCGACCACGCGGGCGCCTGGGCGCGCCACGCGTGGGACGCGGACCGCGGGCCCTCGTCCTGCGACGCGCGCGGCTCCGGCGACCTCGCCGTGGCCTTCGGCGACGGGCGGGGGGAGGCGCTCCTCTAGTGCGGTACGCCGGGTCCGCCTCTGCGCGCGGGCGCGCGCCGTCGTGTGTCGCCGCGCGTGTGGGTACGTTGAAGGAGCGTTGAAGGACTTGTTGAAGGCTGGGTGAAGAGCGACCGCGGTCGTCGACCGGGTGCCGCCCTGCTGAGTGTGGGACGCCGATGGCCGGCAAGAAGCGGCGCGCCGCCATCAAGGAGCTGAAGAAGAAGCGGCGCGATCGCGCCGTCGACAAGGACGGGCGACCTCTCAGCAAGAAACGAGCGAGGCAGGAGGAAGACGAGCCCGACGAGCCCGACGAGCCCGACGAGTTGGTGGGGCTCCAGAGCGCCGAAGGCGCCTTCTATCTCGTCGACGCCGCGGCGGAGCGCGTCTACGACTCGGCGCGCGACGTCTACGACCGCCTCGTCGCCGCCGGCCGCTGGGACGCGAGCGCCCGGGAGCTCGTGCGTTCGTCCGACGGCGCGCGCGTCCCGCTCGGGTCGGCCCCGGCGGCCGCGCCGGCGCCCGCGCCGGCGCCCGCGCCGACCGCGCAACCGGTGGCCGCCGAGCCCGTGTCGCGCGAGCGCGCGGGCCCGCGCCTCTCGAAAGCCGCGCGGCGCCGGGAGAAGAAGGAGACCAAGGCCGCCGAGGCCGCGGCCGCGGCGGCGCCGACGACGAGCGCGCCGCCGGCGAAGAAGAAGAAGCGTAGGAGATAGTATATTGGTGCTTTTGTTGTGGCTGTGCGTGCTTCGACGGAAAGTCCCGGTTGGGCTCTGGACGTGCTCCTGGTCACGGGGTCGGCGAGCGACAGCGATGGCCGGACGGTGCCTGCCGTCGTGCCGCCCGCGGGCGTCGCGGAGCGTCGACACGCGAGCCGCAGAGCGCGCGCCGTGGACGATCTTGGAGGCGTTCTGGACGCCAGTCCAAGGTGCGTCCAGATTCGAGAAGAAAAATTACAGAAACCTCGACTGCAGGCTGTCGCGCGCTCGCCGCTTGGAAATCTCGACCATCGATTTGTCAGCAGGCATCTCGTCGTGTGCACGCCGCGCAGTTGCAACCGCGCCCGCAGCATTGCACGCACCATGCCCGCGACGGAGATGGCGTCGCGGCGCGGCTACGAGGTCATCAGCCCCGTCAACGGCGCGGGCGCCGCGTCGTCGGCGACGCCGCTCGCCGTCGGCGATCCGGAGAAATCTCGGTTGCCCAAGAAGGTGCTCTACGGCTGCGCCGGTGCCGTCGCCGTCTTCCTCGGCCTCGTCGCCGTCTCCGCCTCCGGCGCCGAGGAGAAGCTCCTGAAGCACAAGCTGCCGCCGACGCTCAGCGCGGGCGCGTCCGACGACTTCGACGCCGACGGCCGCTTCATCCTGCCGGACTTCGACACGCGCAAGCCCTTCGCGTCGTTCCTCCCGGGCATCGGCGGCGAGTGGGGCATGCCCATGTGGGCCTTCTACGTCAACCGGGGCCAGGGCCTCGCCGCGTTCGGCGTCGAGAACAAGGACAAGCCGCTCATGGAGTTCACGCCCGCGAACAAGGCCTACCTGACGACGTCCACGGAGGGCTTCCGCACGATGCTCAAGGTCTCGCGCGACGGCGGCGAGCCCAAGCTCGCCCAGCCCTTCTTCTCCGTCGACGACGACGCCGCGGACCGGACGATGCTCATCGGCATGAACGAGCTCGAGATCGCCGAGGTCGACGCGGCCACGGGCCTCGAGACGCGCATCCTCTACTACACCGTGCCCGGCGAGGACTTCCCCGCGCTCGTGCGCCGCGTGACCATCACGAACCTCGAGGACACGGAGGCCGCCGTCGACGTCGTCGACGGCCTCGCGCGCCTCGAGCCCTTCGGCGTCAACAGCGGCCAGCTCGCGGCCATGGGCCGCACGCTCGAGGGCTGGATGCGCGTCTACAACTGCGGCCGCGACGAGGACAGCGACGTCGTCGACAAGGGCCCCTGCGAGCTGCCCTACTTCAAGCTGAGCGCGTCGACGGCCGACTCGGCGCAGGTCGCGATGATCACCGAGGGCAACTTCGCCTTCGGCTTCGTCGAGGACGGCGACGAGTCGACGCTCGTGCCCATGATCGTCGACCCGGACGTCGTCTTCGGCTCCGACACGACGTTCCGCGAGCCGCTGGGCTTTACGGACTACGAGACGCTCGCGGCCGCGGACGAGGTCAAGGTCTCGAAGACGCCCTGCGCCTTCGCGCTCGCCCAGAAGACGCTGGCGCCCGGCGCGGCCATGACCCTCGTCGAGGTCTTCGGCCACGCCAAGACGGTAGAGCAGCTCACGGGCGACATCGCGCCCAAGGCGCTCGAGACCGCGTTCGTCGCGGGCAAGTACGCCGAGGCCGTCGCGCTGGCCGAGCGCCTCACGCGCGTCGTCCAGAGCGACACGGCGAACCCCCTCTTCGACGCCTTCTCGCGCCAGATGCAGCTCGACAACCTCCTCCGCGGCGGCTACCCCGAGTTCCTCGGCGACCCCGAAAACCCCAAGGTCTACCACACCTTCTCCCGCATCCACGGCGACCTCGAGCGCGACTACAACAACTACCAGATCGACACGACCTACTACTCCCAGGGCAGCGGCAACTACCGCGACGTCAACCAGAACCGGCGCGTCGACGTCTACCTCTTCCCCCGGCTCGGCGACTTCAACCTCCGCGAGTTCCTCACGCTCAAGCAGGCCGACGGCTACAACCCGCTGACCGTCGCCACGGCCTTCTTCTCCATGGGGGCGGCGGCGGCGGCGGCGACGACGACGGCGCCGACGACGCCGCGGACGCCGCGGCGTCCGTCGCCGCGGACGTCTGCGCGGACGACAAGTCCGCGAAGAAGCTCGCGTCGATCCTCGGCCGCCCCTTCCGCCCCGGGGACCTCTTCGTCGCCGCCAAGGCCGCCAAGGTCGAGCTGAGCGTCGAGCGCGAGGCGTTCCTCGACGCCGTCGCCGCGGCGTCGGACCAGGTCTTCGCGGCCAACTACACGCACGAGGGCTTCTGGGCGGACCACTGGGACTACGACCTCGACCAGGTCATCTCCTTCGAGGCCATCTTCCCCGACGACGTCGAGCGCGCCATGTGGGACGGCGAGCCGCTGCCCTTCTACATGTCGTCGGGCACGGTGCAGCCGCGCGACTTCAAGTACGTCGAGGTGCCCGAGCTCGGCGTCCGCCAGTACAACAGCGTCTACGACGACCCGGCGAAGCTCGGCCAGCTCAACGACCGCATCACGAAGCCCGACGGCGCCTTCGAGCTCGCCAGGGACTCGTCGGGCGAGACGGACGACGCGCACACGTACGTCTACGCCGTGTCGCCCGTGGCGAAGCTCTTCCTGCTCTGCGTGACCAAGTTCGCGCTGCTCGACCCGTCGGGCATGGGCATCGAGATGGACGCGAACAAGCCCGGCTGGAACGACGCCATGAACGGGCTGCCCGGGCTGCTGGGCTCCGGCATGGCGGAGACGGCGGAGTGCTGGCGCATCGCCGTGTGGCTCAAGGAGACGATCGCCCGCGTCGACCGGGGCATCACCGTGCCCGCGGAGCTCGACGGCCTCGTGTCCAACATCACGGAGGCCCTGGGCGACGCCTCCCTCTCCGACTTCGAGTACTGGGACGCGGTCGCGGACGCGCGCGAGGCCTACCGCGAGTCCGTGCGCCTCTTCTTCTCCGGCGACGAGGTCAAGCTCTCGGCCAAGGCGCTCGTGTCCTTCCTTGGCGACGTCGCGGACAAGCTCGAGAAGGGCATCGAGAAGTCGCTGACCTACACCGACGGCGTCGTCATGCCGTCCTACTTCCAGCACGAGGTCAAGGACTTCGAGTACACGGGCATGACGAACTTCGTCGGCCAGCCCTTCGTCCACGCCAAGGCCTTCAAGGCCAAGGTCTTCCCGCTCTTCCTCGAGGGCCCCGTGCGCCAGCTCAAGACCGTCGACCGCGACGACGAGGCGCAGCTCAAGGCCATCCACGACGCCGTGCTCGCGTCGGACCTCTACGACGAGCCCATCGGCCAGTACAAGATCTGCGAGTCGCTCGAGGGCCAGCCCTTCGAGATGGGCCGCATGATGGCCTTCACGCCCGGCTGGCTCGAGAACGAGTCCATCTGGCTCCACATGTCCTTCAAGTGGTACCTCGAGCTCATCCGCGCCAAGCTCTTCGACGAGTTCTGGACCGCGATGGAGACGGGCGCGCCCTACAACATGGACGTCGACACCTACGGCCGCTCGCCCCTCGAGTGCGGCTCCTTCATCGTGTCCTCGGCCTACCCCGACGAGTCCATGTGGGGCACGTCCTTCCTCGCGCGCCTCTCCGGCTCGACGGCCGAGTTCCTCTCCATGTGGCTCGAGATCTTCGTCGGCTCGCGGCCCTTCTCGCTCTCCGAGGACGGCGAGCTCGAGCTCGCCTTCGCGCCGGCGCTCAAGGGCGACATGTTCAAGGAGGACGGCACGGCGTCCTTCGTCTTCCTCGGCGGCGTCGACGTCACCTACGTGAACCCGGCCAAGGCCGACGCGTGGGACTGCGACGTGACCAAGCTCGTGCTCTTCGCCGACGCGGACGACGCCGAGGGCACGACGGTCCACGGCTCCAAGCTCACGGGCAAGGACGCCGAGGACGTCCGCGACCTCAAGTACGGCGCCATCGAGGTCCACCTCGACTAGCGCGGCGCCGGCGACGCCCCCGCGCGCCGCCGCGCGCCGACGGGAGACCGCGCGGCGCACCGAGCGCGCGAACGGCCGAGCGCGCGAGAAGAAGAACGAAGCACTTCTCCCCTAACAGAGACCAAACGAAAGCACCGCGCTATCGCGAGGCGGCCGGGCGGGCTGCGCGCGAGGGTTGTCCAGCCTTGAGCAGCCGGACGTCGGTGCGTGCGTCGCCGCCTATGCGCATCGGACGACGTCAGATGACGTCCGGGCCTACGACTGAGGCTACGTCCGAGTCACATGAGCGAGTCGCGGCGTGGTGCGCCGGCCGGCCTGACTAGCGTACAGGGTAGGGCAAGTGATGGGGACTGATCTGCCTCTCTCCGAGGAGCTCCGGAGGCACGACGCCGACCCCGCCTACATCAGGCGCGGCGACCCGCACCGCCTCGCCCCGCCCGCCCGCCTCAGCCCGCCCGCCCGCCCTCCGTCTCGCGCGTCTCGGGACCCCGGTCGCTTTCCAAAAAAACCGCGCGGAGAGCCGGCGTCCGCCCGCCGCGTTCCGAAGACCCGGCAGCCGCCGCCGCGCCCGCGACCCGCGCCGCCCGCGCGACCTCATGGACGTCCCGGAGGACGACCGGTCGTCGTCCGGGCCCGAGGAGGAGCGCGAGTCCCTCGCCTGCGACAGCGACTACGAGTACGACGACGGCGACGACGAGGTCGAGGACGTGGGCAAGTCCGGGTGGCTCGAGGACCACCACAAGACGAAGCGCTGGGAGAAGAAGGAGGCGGAGCTGCGCGCGGCGATGGCGTCGAGCGGCGAGGGCGCCGAGAAGCTCAAGCTCGAGCTCCGGGACAAGACCGCGGGCGGCCTCGGTTGCGTCGTCGGCGGCGCGGGCGTGCCGACGCACGCCTTCTCCGGCGCGGCGTCCTTCAAGGTGCTCGCCGCGGACCTGCTGGCCCTCCAGCACGCGGCGGAGAGCCGCAACCTCGCCGACGGCGGGGACCGGCCCCGGGGCGTCCACGTCGAGGCCGAGGCCGTCGACGACAACGTCTACCACTGGCGCGTGCTCCTGAGCCGCTTCCCGCCCGGGTCGCCCATGGCCGCGGAGCTCGGCAAGCTCGAGCGGGCCCACGGCTACGGCCACGTGGAGCTCGAGGTGCGCTTCACCATCGACCTCTACCCGTTCTTCCCGCCGCTCGTGCGCCTCGTGCGGCCGCGCTTCGGCGGCGGCGCGCTCGCGCGCGTCGCCATGCTCCCGCAGCTCCAGCTGAGCTCCTGGAACTCCGTCGGCGGCATGCAGCCCGTCTTCGAGGCCATCGCCGACGCGCTGGGCGCCGACGCGGCGCGCGCGCCGCTCGACGCCGGCGACGCGCGCAACGACCCCTACGCGTCCGTCGACGGCGCCTACACGGACCTGGAGCACGTGCTCATGCGCCTGGGGCTGCTGACGGAGACGCGGGGCCGCGCGCGCCGCGCCGTCGACGACGCCGCGGCGCCCGCGGCGCCCGCGCGCGCGGCGGCGGCGCCGCGCGCGGCGCCCGCGGCGCGCGCGGCGCCCGCGGCGCCCGCGCGCGCGGCGGACGACGCGTCGTCGAGCGACGACGGCGGCGTCCAGGGCGAGGGCAGCGCGGCCGCCCCGCCCACGGCGCCGCCCGTGCCCGGGGGCGAGCCCGGGGAGCAGGGCAAGCGCAAGGCGCGCGCGTACTGGGCCAAGGGCACGGGCTACGGCCACGACAACAGCGAGGCCGCCGTGACCTGGGACGTCGACGCCTACGTCGCCGCGCAGCGCGAGAAGGACCGGCTCGTGGGCGACGTGCTCCGGCGCGCGCTCGGCCTGCTCCGGCGCGAGGGCGACCTCGACGACGGCGACGCGCGCGTCGTCGCCGGCTCCGCGCTCGTGCCCGTGCTCGCGGCCTACGCGCGCAACGAGAGCCTCCTCGACGCGTCGCGGCACGCGGCGCTCTACGGCGTCGCCATGGAGCTCCTGTCCGCGCTCGCGCGGCGGCCCGCGCTCGCGCCCGCGCTCGTCGGCGCCGCGGACGACGACCGCGACGACGGCGCCGCGCCCGCACTCGCCGCGGAGAAGCTCGCGCGCGAGGCGCGCGGCGACGCGACGCGCGCCGACGGCGAGCCCGAGGCGCTCGTCGACCTCGTGTTCGCGCTGAAGCGGCGCCTCGCCGTCTTCCACGCGGCGAAGCGCAAGGACGCGGCGTCGCGGCCGGCCGTGGCCGCGCCCGCCGCGCCGCCGCGGGCCCGCGGCGCGGCGCCGGCCGCGCCGGACGACAACGACGCGGCGGCCGAGGGCCTCATGCCGCTCATCGAGCGCGCGGTCGACGACGTCGGCGCCGCGGTCCGCGCGCTCGCGGCTCAAGCGCCGCGGCGCGCGGCGCCCGCGGCGCCCGCGAAGCGGCCCCGCGACGAGCCCGCGGCGCCCGCGACGCGGTCGCGGAAGCGCGCGCGCGAGGCGCCCGGCGGCGGCGACGACGCGGAGGCGACCTACCGGAAGGCGATGCGGCCGCTGCAGTACGACGAGGCCGACGAGGCCGCGGCGGCGACGTGGCGCCTCGCCGCGCCGTCCGCCGCGCGGTCCCACCCGGCCTTCGCGCGGCGCCTGGCCCAGGAGCACGTCGACATCTCCCAGAGCCTGCCGCTCAACGCGTCGTCGTCCGCGTGGTGCCGCGCGCACCCCTCGCGCATGGACGCGCTCCGCGTGGCCATCGCCGCGCCCGAGGGCACGCCCTACAGCGGGGGCCTCTTCATCTTCGACGTGCGCTTCCCGCCGACCTACCCGTCCGGCCCGCCGAGCGTCCAGCTCCTCACGACGGGCCGCGGCACGGTGCGCTTCAACCCGAATCTGTACGAGTGCGGCAAGGTCTGCCTCAGCCTGCTGGGCACCTGGGAGGGCCGGGCCGGCGAGACGTGGAACGAGCGCACGAGCACGCTGCTCCAGGTCCTCGTGTCCATCCAGGCCCTCATCTTCGTGCCCGACCCCTACTACAACGAGCCGGGCTACGAGCAGCAGATGGGCACGCCCGCGGGCGACGCCAAGAGCGACCAGTACCGCGCCAACGTCAAGCAGAACACGGTCAAGTGGGCCATGCTCGACGCGCTCAAGAACCCGGACCCGTCGTTCAAGGACGTCGCCGAGAAGCACTTCAAGCTCCGCGCGGACACGATCCTCCGCGACCTCGACGTCGCGCTCGCGGAGGCCAAGGCCAAGGCCGCCAAGCCGCCGCCGCCGCCGCGGCAGCCTGCGGCGGGCGCGCCCGCGAGCGGCGGGCCGCCGCCCGCGGGCGACAACCGCTTCTGGCAGCTCCACGCGAAGGCCTTCGAGGCCCAGCGCGCGGAGCTCGGCGACCTCCTCGCGGCGCTCCCGCCGGTCTAGCCGCGCGCGGCGCGGCGGCCGCGGCCCCCCGTCCCCCGAATCCCCCCCGCCCACCCCCTAGCGCCCACTTACGAGCCGCGGCTCTTCGGGCGGGGCGAGCGAGGCGACGCGGGCGGGCGACGCGGGCGGGCGAGGCGACGCGGGCGGGCGGACGAGGAGCGGACGACGCGCGCGGGTCAGTCCCCGGGCCGCCGCGGGTCCGGCGGGTTCCGCGGCGGCGGCACGCGCGCGAGCTGCTTCTCCGACGTCCAGCCCGCCACCGGCGCGACGACGCGGACGCGCCGCTTCTTCGGCGCGTCGGCGGTCGCGCCGCCGACGTCCACGGCCTCGACGACGCGGACGACCGTGCCCCGCGGGAGGTCCGCGAGGAGGGGGCTGTCGAGCGCCGCGGCCGCGCGGACCAACGCGCCTTTCGAGATGACGCGATACTCGACCTGGGCGGCGAACGGGCGCGATCGCGTCGGAGCGGCCGCGTTCCCCTTCGTTTCGGCTCCCATCTCGGTCATGGTCCCCTCCCATCTCGGTCGCGGTCCCCTCGTTTCGGCTCGTGGTCGGACGAGCGACCATCTCTCGGAGCGGCCTGGACGCGTCGCCCGGAGCGCGCGCGCGCGGCGCGCTCGCGTCGAAGCGACGTCGAACCGCCGTCGTGCCGCGCCGCGCTCGAACGGCCGCGTCCGCGTCGCTCTGGTCCTCCGGCGGCGGCGGCGCGAGCTGGCGCCAGGCGAAGAAGCCGAAGCGGACGCGCTTCGGGTCCGCGGCCGCGGGGAGCATGCGGCTGTTGCGGAGGAAGAAGGCGACGCGCTGGCAGTCCGTCCGCTTGTGCCCGCCGGCCGCGGTGCCCGACTGGCTCAGCACGACGACGTGCGCGCCGTCGTGGGCGGCCTCGGCGACGGCGTTGAGCGCCGCCTTGCCGTCGTCGCAGAGCATCGCGATGGCCTCGGCCGTGGGGCCCGTGCGCGCGCAGAAGAGGACCTCGCCGGCGTCGTCGACGCACCACGCCGTCGGCAGCTCGACCACGTCGACCTTCTCGAGCGCGTCGTCCGTGAGGCGCACGGGCCCCGGCCAGGCGCCCGCCGCGCCCCGCTCGGCGGGCGACCGCGCGTCGACGAGCACGTAGCGCTCGAGGCTCGGCTGCTCGAGCGCCGACCGGAGCTCGACGGCCGACAGCTCGACGCGGCCGTAGAGCTGCGCGATGAGCGACGGCATGTGGTGCAGGTTGAACGTGAACACGGACTGGAAGATCTCCGCGGCCCAGTCGTCGTCGTCGACGTCCGCCGTCGCCGCCGCGGCCGCGCCCTCGCGGGCGTCGGCGAGGCACTTGTAGGCCTCGGCCAGGCGCTGGAACTGCTCCTTGGACCCGCCCTTGTCCGGGTGCGCGCGCAGGGCCTTGCGCTTGTAGGCCTTCTTGAGCTCTTCGGCCGTCGCCGCCTCGCCGACGCCGAGCAGCGCCGCGGCCTCGGCGCGGGTCATTGCATTGGCCATCGGGCGCGGGCAGCACTTGCTCGGCAACTTGACGTCAAGATCGCACTTCCGAAGGCTTTGTAGAGGTGTTCGACCGCACGCCGCACAGAGGAGCCAGGATACGCCTAGGATACCCGTAACGCAGTCTCACTCTGATCTGGGTTATGGGCCCGCTTTCGCGCTGTGAGCCACCGCGCTACACCTGCTAGCTGTGCGCAGCTACACCGCTGCGAGCCTGCGCGCAGAGCGCGCCGCCCGCAGCAGATCCACCGCTCGCGAGCGGCGGATAGCCCCTGGAGCCAGAGCGCGCGCCGCCGCAGAGCCCGGCGCCGCGCCGCGCTCCGGTCCAGGCCCCACCAGCGCCCGCGCGGACCGCGCGCGGCGCAGCGGCCGCGGCGAGGACAGGCCGTCTACGGCCTCACACGGGCAATGATGCACGCGGGCTCCGTCCCGGACAACCTCTGGGAGGACGCCGCGTGCCACGCCGTCGATTGTTTGAATCTGCACTTTCACGGCGACATCAACGCCCACTACGCGGCCTTCCAGGAGGACGTCGACCTGTCGACGTTCTACCCTCGATTTCCGCCCCGCGCGCGACCTTTGCCAATTCCCCGACGTAGGTGCGCTGGCTCGCGTCGTCGAGGCAGTGGAGCAGCGCCGAGTCGAGGACCACGGCGAAGCCGCCCGGCTGCCGCGCCGCGGCGCGCGCGACGGCCGAGGACGCGAGGTCGAGCCCCGACGCGCGGACGAACTCCGCGGACCCGCCCGCGTCCTCGATGGCGGCGCCGAAGACGTCGCGCGACCGGCGCCGCGCCTCCGCGAGCGCGCCCTCGGAGATGTCGAAGCCCACGACCTCGTGGCCCCGCGCCGCGAGCCAGTTCGCGTTGTCGCCCGCGCCGCAGCCCGCGTCCAGGATGGGGCCCGCGCGCGCGTCGCCGAAGTCGCCGCGCTCGAAGGCGTGGCGCACCGGGGGCTGCCTGCGGGGGAAAGAAACCAAAAGGTCCGGCGAACCTCGACGTCACGGACCGGCCCGGCGAACCTCGACGGCTGATTCTTCGGACGGATCGTCTTGTCTCGGCGAGAGACGGTGAAAGACCGTGCGCCTCCGCGCATGTTGAAGTCGCGTCTTCTCTCGGCGAGAGACGGTGAACGACGTACGTCGAATGCCGCCCGGAGGACCCGCGCGCGGCCGCCGAGGTCCCAGGGCACGTAGTCGCCGCCCGCGTAGTCCAAGCTCGCGAAGTAGGCCGGGCCCAGCACCTCCGTCGATTTGTCCTCCGTCGATGTCGCCTCCTCGGCGGCCGCGCGCTCGGCCGCGGCGTCGGCCGCGGCGCGCGCCTCGGCCTCGCGCGCCTCGGCCCGCTCGAGCTCGCGCGCGAGGCTCGCGCGCCGCGACGCCGCGGCCTCGACGTCCGCGGAGAGCCTGGCGGCGTCGTCCTCGTCCTCCGCGCCGTCGCCGACGAGGAAGTGGCGCCAGGAGACCCACGCGGCCGCGTAGACCTCCGCGGGCTTCGACGGCACGTACGACGACCGGCCCTCGCCCTGTTCGAGCCAGTCGCGCCAGTCGTCCTCCGTCGCGAGGCCGAGGCGCCGCGCCCACGCCGCCGCGGCGTCGTAGGGCAGCCAGGCGCGCTTGCGCCGCGTCACGGACGTCCGGTACCGGTTCTCGAGGCTCTCGCGGCTCATGCGCAGCCGCAGCTCCGTCATCGACGCCTCGTCGAGCTCCTCCGGGTTATTCGTGTTCGGCGTGCTGCGGAGCGGCGCGCGGCTGAGCTCGGGCGTGCTGCGGAGCGGCGCGCGGCCGAGCTCGTGCCGCGGCGGGGCGACGAAGGCGCTCGCGGCGGCGAGGAGCGCCCATTGCTGCATGATGGTATGATGGCTCCCATCGTCGAGACGTCTCGCCTCGTGCCACTCCACAAGGTTTGCGATGAAGCGCGTGCCATGGGCGGCCCGACGGATGCGTCCAAGAAGCGCTTGACGCGTGCCGTCCTCGCGCGCGAGGAGAATGGGGAAGTGCCGTCGAGGAGATCGTCGAGGGGGCCGTCGCCTCCGGGCCCGAGCTCGCGCGCCGAGCGGCGGAGGCCTGAGCGGACGGGTCCGGATCCCCGGAGCCCCCTAAAAAAGTGCCGGCCCGGGGTGAGCCAGGGGTGGAGTGCCCGGACTCCGGGTGACCCGTCCCCCACCGGGGGCCCGGGGCCGCTCAGTACTAAAAAGTGCCGTCGGAGCTGCCCCGGCCAGCCCGGGGGCTGCCCGACGTGCTCATCAACATGATGCGTGACTAGCAAAAAATGCGGAGCTGCCCGGCGCGCTCATCGAGATGGAGGCGCCTCTTCCTGCTGCCCATCGCGGCGGCGACGTTCGACGCCGCGCGCTGGCTCGGCGGCGAGTGCGGCCAGCCGCCGGGCAGGAGCGTCATCGTCGTCGAGACGCGCTTCATGCAGGGTCAGGGCCGCTTCCGCGCGCTCGTCGGCGCGCGCCTTGAGCAGATGCTCGCCGTGACGGTGCCGAGCATGGCGGCGCAGACGAACCGGTGCTTCGTCTGGCTCGTGTCGACGGACCCGGCGCTCCCCGCGGGGCCGCGGCGCCGGCTCGAGGCGGCGCTCCCGGCGCACGCGCGGCTCGTCGACGCGCCGCGGGGCGTCGACGCGACGTACGCGCCGGGGAAGAACGTCACGTCGCTCCTCGCCGCGGCCTTCCCGGGCCTGCGCGCCCGCCTCGCCGCCGCGGACGAGCTCACGCTCGTCACGCTCGACGCCGACGACGCGCTCCACCGGAGCTACGTGCAGCACGTCGCGCGCTGGCGCCGGAGCGCGCCGCCGCTGTCCGCCGCCGCGACCTTCGACTACGCCTGCGCGAATCGCGCCATGGCCTGGCTGTCGTCGAAGGACGTCGGCGCCCGCGCGCGCCGGTCGGCGGACGCCGAGGTCCGCCAGCAGCACCACGCGGTCTACCTCGAGACCCTGCCGCGGGGCTGCCTCATGTCGGGCCTGGCCCACGCGCTCGCGCTCGTCGGCGGCGACCTCCGCGCCTGCGCGCCCGCGCCCTGCCCCGTCCTGGCCGGGGCGGGAAAAGCGCGCGACGCGCCCAAAGGCGCCGCTCTCGGCCGCGTTCCGCTCGTTTATTTTTGGACGAGCGATCATCCCTCGGAGCGGTCTCGACGCGTGGATGCGTTTTCTGGAACGCGCGCGCGCGGGAAACCCACGTCGAAGCGATCGCCCGTAGGTCCTGGCCGTCGGCCACAAGACCGCGCGCGACGCGTACGACGTCCACGGCGTCGAGATCGACGCCGGCGGCGACTTCGACCCGGGCGACGTCGCGACCGCGCCCGTCCTCCGCGTGCGGAGCGTGACGTCGACCGGCGGCAAGCACCCCAGGAACGTCTCCAAGCTTCGAAGGCCGGCGTCGTCGCGGCGCATCGCCTCGGCGTTCGGCATCAAGGCCGAGGACCTCGTCGCGCTCACGCGCTACCTCCAGCGCCACGAGGCCGCCGTCGCCCGGGAGATGGTCGGCGACAAGGCCGCCACGGGCTGCAACGACGCGTTCTTCGGGAGCTGCGCGTCCAAGAACGCCCTCGCCTTCGCGAGCGAGGTCATCGCGAGGCACCCCCCGCCCGCGCAGCACCGCCTGCTGAGGTTCACCAGAGCGGGGACCTAAGTTGAAGCATCACGGGACATATCCGGCCATGGAGCCATCTTAACGTCGATCCAGCGGCGGCCAAGCTTCAAGTTGTCGGTCAAGCTGAAGCGTTGCACAGCCCATGCCGTCCACATCATCAAACCTTCGGCTGCTGCGGTAAAACAAGTCCCAATGAGGCGCGCGCTCCTGGTCGCGGCGGCGTCCTCCACGGCACTGGTCCGCGCCTTCGCGCCGCCGATGCCGTCGCCTCGACCGCACGCACGTTGCGCGGCGTCGGCTCCGGGCGAGCCCGAGGCGGAGGGAGAGCGCGACGAGGCGGAGGGCGCGGCCGAGGCGGAGGAGGAGCTGCTCCCGGCGGCGCGGATCCAGAGCAGCGGCCTCGAGACCATCGACGACTTCCGGCTGACGCGGAGCCGGCTCACCTTCCGCCGGTCGCAGGAGGTCCAGCGGCGGAGGCCGCGGCACCTGCCGTACGACGAGGCCGCCAAGTGGGCAAGGGCGATGAACCGCTGGGAGACCGCCGAGGAGTGGCGCGAGTGGCTCGAGTCCGGTGAGAAGCGCAACGCCTACATCCCCAACGACCCGCCGAAGTACTACGGCAACGACTGGCGGGGCTGGGACCACTTCCTCCTCGGCGCGGACGACGACCCGGACGGCGACGCCGGCCCGGACTCGTAACCTTATGTGTAGTTGAGTGCCCCGCGCGGTCGCGTTCGCGCCGCGCCTCCCCGGAGCGCCCCGCCCGCGAGCCCGGCGGGGCCTCGCGGGCGCGCCGAGCCGGCGCCGCCACTGCGCCCGCGGGCGGCCAGGCCCCGCGACGTCATGGGAGGCGCTCGCGCGGCGATCGCGGAGAGCGGCGAGGGCGGCAGTGCGACGGTCGAGAGCCTCTCCCACGCATCCTTTCAATGAGGTTTGAAGCGACCTCAGGCACATCGGGCAGGCTCCTCCCTGGCCTTCCTCCTCCGTCCCCGGCGAGGTGGGAGGTGGCTATAGCCGCCGGAGTAATTTGGCGGTATATTACCGGTAATGGTAATTACCGGTAATTACCGGTAATTACCCGGTGCCATAATTCGATACCGGGTAATCCGCGTACAGGCCGCGGTCCGCTAGTACACGTGGCTGACGATCCGAGCGTCGCGGCCCGTCGCGGTCGTGTTTCGCATCGCGGTCGACGCGCGGCGCGAAACCGCGACCGAGCGGCTGCTCGTCGCGACGTCGCGACGGGCGCGCCGGGCGACGCCCCCCACGCCGTAGCGCGCCGCCGGCGTTGTCGCGTGGAAGCCACCTAAAAGAGAATTCGGTCGACACGCGGGTTCGCGGTGGTCCTTTCGAGCCGCCATACCGCCTCTAGCCGTCCGCGGACGCCCTGATTACCGGGTAATTACCCTTCTGCGGTAATTACCCGGTAATTACCGGTAATTACCGAGGCCTCCCGGGCATTACCCGGTAATCCGGCCCCCATAGAGGTGGCCCACTTGGTGGCCCGCCGCCCGGGCTCGAAAGGAGCCGCTTTGCCCTGACTCGAGTCGAGAGGCTATGTGAAGGGCTGTGTCCTTGATTTGCTCGCATCGGTAGTCGCAGGGCCAGGAGCCAGCACCGCCGCATCGATCACCCGCGCCGATGAGGTCGTTCGTGCTGCTCGTCCTCGTCTCCGCCGGCGCGGCGCTCCAGCCGCCGCGCGCTCCCGCGCGGCCCGCCGCCACGACGACACGCGCGGCGCCCGAGCGCGTCGAGGTGTGCCTCAAGAAGCACTGCAGGAAGCGCGGCGGCGCCGCGACGCTCGCGCTCTTCGAGTCGCTCGCGCCGGACGGCGTCGAGGTCCTCGCGGCCGACATGGCCCACACGGACCACGGCTGCTTCGACGAGTGCACGATGGGTGCGTCGCGCGCCCCGCGCCCCTCGCCGCGCGCCAGCCCCGCGCGCCGCCGCAGGCCCGAACGTGCGCGTCGACGGCGAGCCCCGCGAGGACGGCGGCCGCGTGCTCAACGGCGTCCGGGGCGCCGCCGCGGTCGCGGGCATCCTCGGCGTCGCGGCGCCGCCCGCCTAGGGGCGCCGCGCCGCGCGGGACAACAAACCGGGTTAGGCTGGGGAGTCCGTTGTGGGGGGGCGCCGCGGGTCGCGCGGCGGGGCGGCGGCCGGCGCGGTCCGCGTCGCCGCTCAGAGGACGTTGACGCACTTGAGGTCCTCCATGGCGGCGCCGAGGCGCTTGACCGTGGCCTCCTCGGCGGAGCGGAGGCACATGCGCGGGTCGTAGTACTTCTTGTTCGGCTTGTCGTCGCCGTCCGGGTTGCCGATCTGCGCCTGGAGGTAGTCGCGGTTCTTGAGCTCGTAGGCGCGGATGCCGTCCCAGAAGGACCACTGCGTGTCCGTGTCGATGTTCATCTTGATCGTGCCCGCCTCGATGGCGTACTGGATGTCCTCGCGCGACGAGCCGGAGCCGCCGTGGAACACGAAGTAGACGGGCTTCTTGTCGTCGCCGCCGAGCTTCTCGGAGATGAAGGCCTGCGTGTTGTGGAGGATCTGGGGGTCGAGCTGCACGTTGCCCGGCGAGTAGACGCCGTGCACGTTGCCGAACGCCGCGGCGACGGTGAACTTGCCGTTGGGCACCTTGGAGAGCGCCTCGTAGACCTGCCAGACCTCCTCGGGCTGCGTGTAGAGCTTGGACGAGTCGACGTCGCTGTTGTCGACGCCGTCCTCCTCGCCGCCCGTGATGCCGAGCTCCATCTCGAGGAGCAGGTCGACCTTGGACATGCGCTCGAGGTACTCGACGCACGTCGCGATGTTGTCCTCGATCGTGTCCTCGGAGAGGTCGAGCATGTGGCTCGAGAAGAGGGGCTCGCCGTTCTTGGCGAAGTAGTCCTCGTTGGCCTCGAGGAGGCCGTCGAACCACGGCAGCCAGTCGCGCATGCAGTGGTCCGTGTGGAGGATGACGGGCACCTTGTAGAACTTGGCGAGCTCGCGCACCTGGAGCGCGCCCGCGACGCAGCCGGCGACCGACGCCTCGTCGGGGAACTCCTTGACGAGGTACTTGCCCGCGAGGAACTGGCCGCCGCCGCGCGAGAACTGCACGATCATCGGGCCGCCGTACCTGTGGGCGGGGGGGTGTTTTGCTCGAGTTTCGGATCGTGGCGAGCGGCTGGCGCGAAGCGGGGAACGGCGGGCGCGCGGCGGGCGTCAATGCCCCGGCGAGGCGCGTCAACCGCGGTTCGATGGGTGGGTAGGGGGGTTCGGCCACTTTCACTACCGTACGATGCTCTGGGTCGGCGAGATCCGCGCGCCGCATCCAGTCCAAGGGCTCGGCTCGGATTTGGGGTCCCCGCGCAATCAAATCGAAGTCGCGAGACATCAGGACGCTGTGACGCGCTTCGCCGCCGCTTCCAGGCACGCGTTGATGCCGCAGGAGCTCACGGCGTTGACCGCGGGGATCGCGAAGCCGCGCTCCTTGGCGTAGGCGAGGAGGTCCATGAGCGCATCGCCCGTGACGACGCCCGGCTTGACCGTCGCGGGGAGCGTCGCGGTGGCGGCCTTGAGGGAGGTGGCGGCGGGGCGCGCGGCCGAGCTGGGGCTCGTGAACGCGTTGGCGCTGGCCGCGAGAGCGAGAATTGCGAGCTTCATTGCCGTATGATCGAGCGTCGTCGTCAGTGCGGGCCAGGGGGTGCTAGCTTCGTAGTGGTTCAACTTAGTTTGACGCGCGACGTTGGCGGAATAGTCGTCTCAGAGCTCGAGCACACATCTTAAGATATCTTATCATCGTCGGCGACGGGTGCACTCTCCACTTCGCCACGCTCAACGACAACGCCTGCTACACGATCAGGGATCACCTGGACATCGTGCCCTTGCGCATCGGCGACGAGGACGACTAACTCGTCAGGTTGATGAGACATTGCACGCCTCTGCACAGGTCATCTTACTCGCCACATACTCACGTCAGGTCGATGACGTCGTCCTCGGGGATCGGCGCGCGGGGCGCGCGGGGCGACGGCGCGGCGGGCGCGGGCGCGCCGAAGCCGGTGAAGGCGAGCCCGCCGATGCCGCCGAAGGCCGCCGTGTTGCCGAACGTCGGCGCCGGCGCGCCGCCGAAGGGCGCGACCGGCGCCGGCTGCGGCGCGCCGCGGCGCCGCGGCGCCGGCGTCCGCGGGACCGCGCGCGCGGCGTCCCAGCGCGTCTTGAGCGCCGTCGGGGCCGCCGCGGGCGGCGGCGCCGCGTCGGCCGCGGCGCCCGCCGCGCGCGCCTTGGCCGCCGCGAGCTCCGCGAGGAAGATGGCGCCCGTCGTCTCGTCGCGCGGCGGCCGGAGCGCCGCGCCGCGGAGCAGGCGCCGGAGCGCGGGCACCTGCGTCTTGCGCGCGTCGTCCCAGATCTTCGGCGGGCCGTCCTGCGTCCGCGCGCCCTCGAGCTTCTGGCAGTCCACCGCCGAGCAGGCGAGCACGGCGAACTCGAAGCCGCCGGCGCCGCGGTTCGCGGGGAGCGCCGCCGCGTCGAGGCCCTCGTAGAACGCCGCGTCGACGGCCTCGCGGCAGAAGTCGTTGCGCGCCGTCGCGACGGCCTCGAGCGGCGCGTCCTCCGCCAGCCCGAGGTTCTCCGCGACCTCGCCGCGGTTCATCGTGTCCGTCTGCGTCGCGACGAAGACGACGTCGCCCGGCCGGCGGTCGCGCGCGAGCCGCGCGCGGAAGGGCGCGACGAGGCAGTCCTTGACCGTCTTGTCGTTGACCGCGCGGCGCACGTTGGACACGAGCAGGAGCGCGTCGGCGCGCGCGAGGCACTGCTTGACGACGCCGTCGCGCGCGCTGTTGTCGTCGCGGAGCCCCGGCGCGTCGACCAGGACCTGGGCAGCAAAAGGGTGATTCAACGTCGCTTCAACATGAGTGTTCCGCGCGCGCGCGTTCCGGAAAAAGCATCCATGCTTCGAGACCGTTCCGAGAGATGATCGCTCGTCCAAAAATCAGCCGAAACGAGTGGAAAACGGCCGAGATATGAGCCTTTGAAGTTGGGAATTTCGCTCTCTTTTGCTGCCCCGACGAGGACGAGGCCGCAGGCGAGGCTCGCCCAGGGCCCGGCGATGGCGACGCGGCGCACGAGGGGCCAGAGCGCGCCCTCGGCGGCCGACGCCGACGAGTCGACGTACCGCTCCGCGGCCGCGCGCAGCTCCGCGGCCGTACCGGCCTCGAGCGTCACCGTCGCGCCGACGCTCGCGTGGGCCTCGAAGAAGTAGGCGCCCCGGCGCTTCGCGCCCTTGCCCGGGCCCCGCTTGCTCGCGTAGACGGCGGCCGCGTCCGCGAGCGCGTCCGCGCCGAAGAGCGCGACGACGCGGTCGTAGGCCGCGCGCGCCGCGTGGCCGTCGGGCGGCGCGGCCGACGCGCGCGTCGCCGCGTCGAGCCAGGCCTTGTAGGGCCCCACCTGCGTGGAATCACCCTGGGAGAGGCGAGCCGAGGGGGGGAGTGCCGCGGCCCCCGCCGACGCGCGACGCTCCGGGCCGCGGAACGCCCCCGGACGAGCCGCGGGGGGCCAAACGTCAGACATCTCTCGCTCGGTCGATTGTTGGACGAAGCGAGTGCTCTGCTTTGATCTCCGCGCAGGTCGCGAACCTCCTCGGCCCAGAACTCGGCCGTCGCCATCTCGACGACGCAGCCGTAGGGCCGCGGCGGCGCCGCGCCGTCGAAGCACTGCGACGCGCCGTCGCCCGGCGCGGCCGCGGCGCCCCGGTAGGCCAGCTCGACGACGGCCGCCGTGCAGGCGCGCATGCACGACCTACCAAGCACGACGGTGACGATTTCTCGTCGTTTTCCCGCCCCGAATCGCTCGAAACTCGTCGCGGCCGCAGGACGCCGTGCACGACGTCGGCAGCACCTCGGCCTCGCCGAGGAACGCGTTGAGCAGCGACGACTTGCCCGCGCCCGTGTCGCCGACGACGACGGCGCGGAAGCTCGCGCCCGCGGCCGCGGCCGCGTCGGCCGCGCACGCGCGGAAGGCGGCCGCCGCGCTCCCGGAGCGGCGCGCGGTGCCGTGGTCCGCGGCG